GGGGGCGGGGGGGGGAAGCGGGCCCAGGCTGGGCCAGGCCGGACCCTGGCTCGGCTGCAGTTTCTGCCGCTGCTGAGTTTCACCAGAGACTGCTGAGTAAGGGGAGAGAAAGCCATTGACCTGCAGAGTGCTGAGACAGTGGCCACACTCTGCCAGAGTAGCCATGGAAAATCTTCCATCGCAGACAGCTCCAGCTCCAGCAGAAATTAAGGGACCATCCACAAGGCCTGGGCAAGATTTTAACCCTTTCACTACCGAGATGAGACTTGCAGATTAATCCTTTTGCCAGAGAGAGGGGAAGAGAGTGCGAGTGATCAACAAAGAGACACCATAAACTATCAAAGACACTGAAGAAAGGAATTAATCTTCAGAGGGGGAAGAGAAATAAGGAGATGCTTTAATAAGCTGAAATATTTTTCTGTTAAAGCTATGGAGATGGACAGTAGTATTCTGAAAAAACTTCTTTAATTCATGACAGAGTATTTTGGGGGAAATAGAATATTTCAAAGTGTAGATTTAAGCAAATGATGAAGTAGTTGTGATCCTATGAGATGCTGGAACAGAAAAAGAGAAGCAATAGTTGAAGATTTGTGGCCTTTAAGAGGCAAAGAGAAAACTTCTGTTTCCAGAGAGGCTCACAAAAGCAGATGAAGAGAACTTTTGCCTTTGAATAACTCCTCCTTAAAAATGACACCCTATCTTGACTCATTGACCCATAATACACCTCAAAGTGATGTGAAATGGGAAGAGACAACTGATGGCAAAATTTCTGGTCAGCTAGCATCAGAGAAATAGAAAGCCATGAAGAAAATGGTTTTCTTGTGAAAAAACTCCATAGATTAGCAGAAGACTTATTTTCCTCTACAAAGACTGATGAAAAGACTATAGAAAAATTGAGACTGTTTTAACCACCAAATTTTTTGTCTCTATGTTGTCATGTGAACAAGGGAAAGATTGGATAGTGGGGAAAAAAAAGGGTTTTTGGGGGTTTTATTCTGGTTTCTTATTCTTATAGTTTTTGTTAATAAACTTTCTTTGTTCCTTTTAAGTTTTAAGCCTGTTTTGCTCTTGTTCTAATCCATATCTCACAGCAAGAAATAAGTAAGTTTTCTAGTAATTTTTTTAGTTAATACTTTAAAACCATGAGAGTATCTCATGTGGATCAGCATAGAATTTGTTTAGCAGGAGTCAAAATAAGGGTTTTGTTTTTCTGAGGATATAGTGGTTTTACTTGACTGTTAAGGATTTCACTGTGATAATTGTTATATTTTACAGGAACTTTCTAAACTGCTCATGGCTGTTGAAGTTTGAAAGCTGTATCTGCTCTTTTCCTGGAAAAGAAAAATTAATCATCTTAGTAATATTTAACTATTTGGAGGAGATTCAAGATGTCTTTTGAATATTCATTTTGTCCAAAGCCACAAGACATAAATTTATGCCTACATTGACACAGGTAGGTGTATACGTTAGTATACATATGTATAGTTACATACGGGTCTTTATGCTGCCTGTATATTTCTGTAATATTTGGGATATTCCCGAGTCCTCTTTTCCAGCCTCTAGCACCAGGAGAGATGTGGATGCTCAAAGATAATATTCTCTTCAGTGTAAACTGTCAGATCCTTTAGGGAATTCTCCTACCTATCAGTGTCTGTTAATGTAAATACTAATCTTGGGGTACAGAACTGTTAAGGGACACATGTTGTGAAATGAAGTTAATTCAGGTGTGAACATTTTATTTCAGGTGCTTCTTGGAGTTGGATTTGTTCTTGGCTAGACTGAGTTCACCCCAATCCAAATTTGGGTTCTCCTGCCAGATCAAACAGGTAGGTAGCTTTCTTTCTGTAATGTTTGTCCCAATCCTTCCATTTTGCTGCTGAGAGTAAAGGATGAAACATACTGGTTATTGGAACAGCAGGTGAGTGGAGCATGCAGGGCAGGGATTAGAGAGGTTTTGAGTCCATCTTGTACCTCAAAAGGCACTATAGGCTTCTTTTCATGTAATGTGCAGCACCACTGTGTTAGTTTTGACACAACTCTTCATACAGTCAGTCATGTGCTGACTATGCTTTGAGAACAGATGTGCCACAGCCTTTTGTTTTCAAAGCTACATGATCCACTCAGTTTGTCTGGAACTAGCAGTGATCTGCCAGGAACCAGCATTAGGCTTGATCCTTAGTTAATATATGAAGTGCTGTTCCGAAACAGATGGAAGAAACGATACGCTATTGGCATTTGAAGGTGCTAGAAATATAGAAAGTATTGTAAATAACAGACACATCTGAGAAGTAGCTGTGAGACACCTTTGTTAAATATCTGCTTCTTTTTAAAGCTCCATCTGAATTTTAAGTGCCACAAAGTAGAATAACTATGGCTTTCATATTTTTGTCCCACAAAGTAATAATTTGTTATCTTGAAAAGTATAAAAAAATTTAAAAATAAGATGTTTTCACTTTCTGTGTTACTGGGAAAATAACAGCCACTTAAAAGTGAGCTGATCCCCTATCTACCTTCCTTTTTTTGCCATGAGATCACATTTTTGTGATACAAAAGAAATTCTACAATATATTAGAAGTTCTGATACTAGTCATGAATTCTTGAAAGCTCGTCTGTAAGATCAAGTTATCAACTGTTGACAAGCATGGTAAGACAAGCAAAAGCTATGCCCCATTATTAAGAAAGGTAACGAAAACTGGTGATGAAATACAATTATTTCTGCTCAGGAAAATCCTTGTTGAAAAATGTTATTTGTAGGAAACTGTGTAGTGTGAATACACTTCCTTTACTTTCAAATGGAGCATCAGGAGTCTGAACAAATGTGATGGGGTTGGGAAGAAAAAATAGTATATAGTTCATATGTCATTGTCATATACACTTAAAAATCAGAAGACTGAAAAGCTCTTTGCGCTACACTTGTCCCTTTGCATGTCTTCTCACAGAAATAGTACTGCCTCATCAGTGCCTATGACATGCCAGCCAGTTTCAAGACTCTCTTTTTTCATGTCCTTTGCCTTTCAGGTCACAAATTAAAATCTTGCAAAAGTCTTTAATATCTCTCTTCCTACTCAACTAATTAATTATTATATCCATAAAATTCTCTTAAAAAAAAATTAAGGTCACAAAGTCAAGCATTCAAATTATAAAACATTAAAATTAAAATTCCCCGTGCAGCCTTCGTTTAGTTTGCTTGCACATATGCATTACAATGGTCTTTAATTACATCACACAGAATGGTACTTCCTTAATCAGAATTATTCAGTATTTCATTCTCTTGTCCTTGTTCAGTGTGTGTTCATGTCTTGTTGGCTTCAAACTATTCAGACAGCACTCTTTAGGCAGAAATTATTGATTTTTTTTGTGCTATTTTCTAAATGGAACTCATTAATATAATGTCAGACTTGACTTTATATTCTCAAAATTTTCATAAGATTAAGAGATTTTATTGTCTTCATTTTACAGATGGATAATGGCCATGCAGAGAAATTAAGCCTAAGTATATACAATAGATTTGGGTGACCGGTTTGGGGTGTCTGTAACCTCTTATTCTTCAGTGTGCTTTGCACAGTGTAATTCAGAGCAAATTCAGGATATGGACTCTGCTGAATTCTCTATTTTTTTCTAAGTAGATATGAATCTGACTTTCAATCTGTAGTGGAAAAACCTCCAAAACAAATATTGAAAACTACCCTTTAAATGTTATTACAAATTTTGTAATAAAACTTTTTCTCAGAGTTGCCAAGAAAGGCACGGCTAACTTCTAATCCAGGCCTGCAGTACAGATAGAGCTGCCTCTTTTTTACTTCTGAAGCGCCTTCTTCCCTTTCCAGCATATTCAACAAAAAGTAAGTAGATGCCATAAAGATATATATGAATATGCAAAGTGGAATGAGATAGTAGGAGTAAGAGTGATTCTCTGAAGTGAAGAATGGAATATCAGTTGACAGCAGCAAGTAGTTTAATAACGGGCAATGAGATTAAATTTTAGTTGGGTGTGGGATATGGGGGTTATATTTTTTAAAGTTGTTAAGTCTTATGTTCACCCTGGAGCCCTGTGGGGAAGGCAGATGCAGGCTGGAATGTTGGTTGGGGAGTGAAAGGCAGTTATTGAGAGAAACATGTGGACAGCACATGAGTGGGAAGCTGACAGGGTGATGAGACATGCACAGCAGCACTGCAGCTGAGTAGGCAATGGGTGCCCTTCATCTTTTAAGTTTTGGTTATGTCCAGTGGAAACTAAAAGTATTAAAGGGGAGTGTTTTCTACAATAAAGGAATTTCCTTTGCGTGCACAAAGAGGATCCGTGTGTTTTTGCTCCACCATTGTTACAGTTGGGGACATTATCCCAGTTTTTCTGTCACTTTAGAATTAATTTTCTGCAGTTTTTTGAGTAACCTTATATGTACGATTGGGAAAGAAAACTTTCTTATATTTATGTGTATTGGCTATATTAATATCAAGTAACTATGTTGTCTAGGTTTGGAAGACAGGTGTCTTCTAAGAAAGTCAGGGGCCCCCCTTGGAGTAAAAAACGTAAAGCCCCCCTCCCTCTGAATTATTATAATTTTGAAACCAAGGGGCTCTCAGGCAGAGATCTGGGGGTAGTTCTTTACTAGTATGAATAACGAGGCACACAAACAATAATAACTGCAGCACCAACAACAAAACAGAACCAGGGACCCAGTGACGACCCCATGATGAGGAGGAGGAGGAGGAGGACAAGGAGGAGGATGTCAGGAAAAGTAATCCACAAACACCAGAGGTTTATGTCCAAAAAGGAGACAGAGTAGTCCTTTTACTGTATTCAAATAAAGGGAGAGGCCATGGGACATTTCCCTGGGGTCTCTCAAATTTTTGGTAGATGCAGCCTCCTTTTTATCCTAATTTTCCAGCCGCATATCCCTCTCTCTTTCCCCATTGGCTGAGGTACCTTACTTGAGAGGTTCAGACTTCCTGGAGTGCCTAATACTTAAGATTCCCCTCTAATGTATAACCCTCCCTCTTCATTTTAATGAAATTGAATGAAATTCTTATGGAATTTATGGTGTTTCCTCATGGTCTCTTTCATCTTTCAATATCCAGTTCCATTTATCAGCAAACCTACAGTTTGTTTGTAAAGACAAATATATTCTTTCCATTCATCAATCAGTGGAATCCTTCACATTGTTTCTTTTATCTCTCAGTGCTGGTTTTATTTACCAGCAGACCCACAGCTTATTTGTAAAGACAAAACCATCATTCCTCTCAATGAGGAGGATGAGGAGGATGAGGAGGATGACAAAGAGGAGAACAAGAAAAAGAACCCCGAGTAAAACCAGCTCTGAGTGTGTGCTGAAACTGAAGAAGTGAGCCTCTCAGCAGATGCCCCTACCCTCCCTTTTATCTGCACCCAATAAGTACCAGCAGTCAGGTTTCCCCACAACTAATGGGGAAAATTCTATAGGTGAGAAGGAACACTTATGCCTAACAGGTGTAATATATGCATTTCGGACATACATTCAAACAAAGAGCATAAAAGTATTCCCTCCTATCTCACAACCATCTCATCAACGCTACTGGAGTCTTTAAATCCCTAAACCAAGCATCAGATGTTTGAACTATCAAGGCAGATGTCGAGCTGGCAGCTTACATCCTCTAAGTGTATCAATACTTGGGCAGTCATAAACTATAGATTGTGTATGAATTCATATATCTTCACTGGTGATGGAGGACGTTGGAGTAACAGGTTTCACTTGGGAGTCTGGAGGGATTCTCACTGTAATTAGAAGGTTACAGCTTATTTCATACTGACTTCATCACTTCCCCTGCTTCTTAGTCTCAATGTCAACTTTCTTCCCCTATAGCCTACTTCAATTCTCACTCATCAGTTCCCTGTTCCTTTCCTTTCTCTTTCACAGGATTTCTTCACATATATTTCTCTCTGTGTCCCTTTCCAGGATCAAATTTTTGATTCTTTACAGCTGAATGAATGATTCTGTACAGTGAATTTGATTCTTTACAGTGAATGACATTTTCCATTGTCATGTTTGGACACCAGTGGACAGTGTCAGTACAAGCGCATGACAGATCTTTAATTCCTTTGCTATGTGCGATACATGGAAATGTTTATTTTAGTAAGATTATTTTATTGAGGATCTTGTCAAATGGCATAATAAGGAAAAACAGTTAAGCCATAGACAAAGTGACACAAACTGGATGGACTTACATAGTGACAAAATCAAGAAAGAAGCCTTGTCAGTCACACTAATAGATGGGCTATCAGGAAACTGCATGCAGGGTATTGCAGCCAACAAGGATGGAAACCTGAGGGTTCAAAACAGGGAGGAGAGCAGCTCAGCAGAACTAGGCAAACTTATGAGGGAAAAGGCAAGGCAAGGGAATGGGGAGAAACAAAGGAGAAAAGTGGGATGAGAGGGCTGTTCCCATATGAATAGGGCCAGTCACTGTTCTTATGGACTAAGCCGCATGCCTGATCACCACTGATCAGGCTGTCCCATCTATCATTAATCCTTTCCTAATGAGGTCTCTGCATTGTCTCACTGCCTATCCCATGTGTGAGCATTGCAAGAACTTTGTCCCATCCGCCGGAGGGGAGTGGCTGTGAGGGGATCTGAACTGGTGGATCCATGGTCAGCTTTGATAGGGGTTGAACATGCAAGTGGGAAATCAGTGGCAGCCATGTGCCACAGCCTGGGTCTGCCCTGCACTGTGCTCCAGAGGCTGGGCAAAGGAAGAAGTCCAGGGCCAGGGCTGCTCTAACATCCCTTAATAACAGGTTTTCATTTGACAGAGGTAATTCCAAAGATTAAATTGTGCATCATATAATTTTGAAACATTATTATCATAATCCAGCCAGATGCTTGGTGCAAATATAATGAAAAAGGGTCTTTTTTTAAATGTGCAGGGCTAATAATCCCATTTTTTAATAGTGAAGCTTTTTGAAGTATTTATTTCTTAGGTTACAATATCTACACATGATAATCTTTTTTTGAAAAGTATGATCATGAATAAGATTACATGAAATTTTGAGACAAAATGAATATGTGGCATTCTTCATCTTATTTAAATAAGGCTATTTAACTCCTATTTAACGTCATAATATGGCAGAAAATTTCTGTTGCACTTACTCAGGCATGGATGAAATTAGAATTTATAAATACTGGTTGTTACAAGGCTGTGCTGGACTATGAAAAATATGCTTTGGTGTATATCATTATAGCAGAAAAAGATAGCAGAATCATTTCCTTACAACTGTTGAAAACAATGGCTAAATTCTCTCCCTCCCACGTGTTTTCATACATAGAGTTTTCCCCATTGTAGCACTTGTTCAAAATATTATGGTTTCATATAAAATTGTTGTGTTGTTTTCTGTTTTTTTTTTTGTTTTTATTTTGTTCGTTTTGTTTGTTTGTTTTTTCCAATAAGCAGTGAAAATGATCTCTACAGCAACTAGTAGCTCAAGTACTAAGGTTGTTTGAGAAAATGGAATTGTGCTCAGAGGCAACTGTGCTTATGAAGTGTTTAGTGCATGTAAACAAACAGACAACTATGCATATTCCCTCAGCAAAAGCTACTTACAGAGAGCAGAGAATGTCAGTAAGTAGGTATATGAGGTGGCTGTAGCAAATAGTGCAGAGAGGAGGAAAGGCAAATGTTGTTATGCAATGACACTGCACCAAAAAGCAGTGTGTAACGTTAAAATAAGCAGTTTTCTTGTTACAGCTGGCCATGCACAGCACAGCGTACACTTAGAATATATAATGTCGTAGCATCTGCTTGCTTATAAGGCTTTCATTTTCTTCTTCAGACAGCTATAATCTCAAATCTTTTGTTAGATAACTCTGATGTGCTTGATAGGAGAAAAAAAAGGCTGCAGTGTTGTCACAATCTCTTAAGTCAATTCCTTTAGCAATGAAAGAGACCCCAGAAATTTTGTACAATACACTGCAGTGAAAACACAAAAAGCAGTTGCTTTTCTGCCTGCTGCACTCCAGTAATTTTCTTTTTTTTTGATGCTAGATAGAGTGCAGGTGACAAGGACTAATCTAAAAGGCAAAAAGAAAGGTATTTCTTTTACTGTTGGATCAAGTTACAAAAGAATGGACATTTTCAGGACGGGACTTTATTGCTTTGTTCATATTTTTGCACTTTAAGGCATATAAATCTCTTCATGAGATGTGAACCATGTTTGGTTTGTACAGATTCTGTTTTATCACAGAAACCTTGTTTGTTTGTTTGTTTTTCAAAACTGCTTTCCTGGCCAATATTTTTAAAAGTTTTAAATAGTCTAGCATTTAAATATACTCATTTCTCATATATATATATTTATATTTGATTGTTGTTTCACAAAAAGATAGTATGACTTTAAATGCATTGAAAGATAGTAGAGAAATTAAATGCTAAAGATGCAATTTAATACAGTTTTCATGCCTGCAGGTTTGACCCCAGAGAAAAAACAGTGAAGCTTATTTAGTTTTCTGTGGTTTCAAACAGTCCTTCTAGGCTATGGCAGTTTAGTCTTTTTAATAATGTTACTTTGCCTTTGGATAAAAGCCTGCTGCATCCATTGATTCTACAAATGAATGTACAAATATTAAAAAGGAAAATGGATTTATACCTGCATATTGAATGGATCTAATTACACTTTAGAATAAAAAAAAACACTTCTCAGGAATGTAGAGTCCTAAATTCCATGCATAATTATATATCAATTTTGAAAAAAATAAACCAATTAAGTCACTGGCATATTCACATAGAAAGTGATTGAGAGTCACAGCCTTTTGGTAAACATAAATGACCTATGGAAAGGTACAGGCTTTTTACTTTCTTTTGCCAGGTTGTCTATACACACCAATGATCACTCCCTCTGGATTTCTCCCTCTTCAAATCCTTTGCATACAATCTTTCCATCACCACTTTTTTCAAGGAATCCTTGCAGCCTTCCACATCCATCTCCTTTGCTAAAATTTTCCTCAGTCCTTTCAGAGTACCAAGTATTTCTTCCCTGCTTTGTGTGTTGTTCTCCCATCTCCCACCCAAATGTCCAGTGTTTCTTTTTTTCTGCAACCTGTTAAAGAACACATCAATGTGCTAATTCCTGTAATGCTTCAAATTTACCTGTAATATTTTTTCATAATTACTTATTTACTCTTACTCCTTACTTATTCCACACAGTGCAGAAACAAGCCTAAAAAACACTGCAGTGTGATGCCTGAATGTGCATGACATGAGTTGCTATGCTGCAGGATACAGTGGTGAACTGCACTGTCAGAAGGTCAGTAAACCAAGTATAAGTAAAAGAAGACAGACATTCCTTCCCATGCAGGAAAGTCTGGGATTTCCTGTGAAGCAGTTAGAAAAAAGTGGGACACGATCTAAATAGAAGGTAGCCCGAATAATTTTATTTTTGTTACCTTGCTAGTCAGTGTTTTCAAATAGGGTAATACTTGCTGTCAACAAAACAACAGTTCTTTTGCCAGAACAGTACTTCATTATTTTTTTCCTATGTTTAACAATATGTTTACTTCTATCCTCCAGCTACCCTTTCTCATTTTGTCAGGTAAGATAGGAAAATAGAAACTTCCTTAAAAAAAAAAAAATCCAAAAAAGGCCCCCAAACCGAACAAAAAAACTTCAAACAAAAAATACAAAAAACCCCCCAACAAACCCAAAACTAAACCAAACCAAAAAAGAAGTTATTAATTCAGGCTAAGATGGGTTATTTTCTCACATTTCCTGCAAGGACATTACAAACCAAAGATGAATAAATCCTGAGCTGCAAAAGTATTGTTCTACCTTCCACAGCTTCTGCAGATCTGTTTCTTATTCCCTTTCAGGAATACTTTGAGGTTTTTTGCTAAGCAATGCTGTAACAGCTGAAATTAAACTTGAAAAACATTAGAGTATAGGCCATGTGGAAGAAACCTGATTGTAATCAGCTCAGGGTGGAAGAGGCTTCAAGCTGATAGCCTGTGTTCATTCCAGTGTATCAATGTGGTTCAGCGACTGACTAGAGCTGTATTGAAGGTAAGAGTAGGTAGTCAGAAATATGAAGGAATCCAGAAGAAAAAAACCATCTGAAGCAAAACAGTGGAATGTAGAAGAGAGTGGAGATGTATAGGAGATAGAGGAAAAAGGGGTATTTCAGAGTCTGAATGATTAATAATAAGAATATTGTGATTCTAATGCTTTATTAAATTAAACAGATGAACATTAGGGAAAAGGCAAAGCCTTCAGGAATCAGGAGAAACTTGTGTAGCAGAGAATTTTACAACTTCTTTATCATAGACTGGATAAGAAGGATTATCTTTGCTACAATAAGTTTATTTTTAATTTCTGACTCCTAAACTTCTTATATGAAAATCAGAATAAAAGCAATTCTGGAAGAACTGTCACCATCCTGAAAAAGACTGTGTAAGCAAGGAGATGTTGTTTAGTCACTATTTAGTAAAAGAAACCTTTCTCCTATTATCTGTGAGGAAAATTTTCTCTGTGCCAGGTGAACTGGACTCATTTACAGGCAGAAAAATGTAATGCTTCTGAAAATACTTAATTGTAAATGCAATAGTAGACTTTAGTTTGCCTATTTTTCCAGAAAGCTTTATGTATGCATACTCCATGTTGAGAAGAACATGTAAGTAACACAAAAAAAATACACTAGAAAAGATACATTTGCATTTTAACTCACTAAAGGTACTAATTCAGACCACAGTAGGGTGGTTTTGTACCTGGTTTAGTTATAGAACAACTTTACTCTGCTATTGACCACATAATGCTTTAACTACTCTTCACCTCACTTCTTTTTGATCTATATGTGTGTTGTTTATGAACTATTTGAACTATTTAAACTATTTTTCTAACAGGTGTTAGATGTTCATATTTCTGTATTGAAGTCAGTGTATTTTTTATCATGAATGAAACTGAAAAATATATTCATTAATGAAGCCTCTGAGAATATGCTAGAATTAGGGGACTTGTTTCATGAATGAATAATGAAGAATTATCTATCATCATCATCATTCCAAATTCAGTCATGGCCTACACCTGAAATATGGTATTAACATGACAATTAATGTAAGTACTCCATTTCATCACGTACTAGAAATTTCCTATAAACTTATTTCAAATTCTTAGATTATGAGTTTTTCTGCCTTAGTTGATGGATCTGGTCTGCTTAGATATTTCCTTACTAATTTTTCTTAGATGTTTTCCTATTAATTTTTAATTATTTTATTTATTAATATTGTTAAATTTTATTTGATTAATTATTTAATTATAATAATTTTAATAATTAACCACACTCCCTGAAGATGCTTTCCAGCTAAAGAATCACAACTGAAAGTCATCAGAGACTTGGGCCTGGCCTGCACCCAGCAAGGCATTGCTTTGTGGAAGCAGATAATCATCATCCCCTGCTACCATTTCTGAAGAAACTATGAAAGTCTATCAGGATCAGTCTCTTACTTGGTAATGCCAGACAAAGTGCTTTTCAGGTTTCAGTCTAATTAACCAGTCACTGACTTTCCAAGCACAGAAGGAATCTCCTGATGAACAGAAATTGTGAAGGACTGCAGCACTCGTTTACCACTGCCAGTCTAAATAAGGTAGTGACAAAACTGTAGATATCTGTACCTGTGCAAGGCCAGCTGTAGTGTTTTTATGTCATCCAATCCATCCACAAAAACTGGTACACTTCCACTTGATGAACTCCTTAATGGTCAAGATTACTTTTTCCGAGTTGATTTAACTCTTCTGCTGTTTGTCATTCAGCTACACTGTAAAATAATGAGACAATAATAGAGGTGAGCGATACAGAAAAAGCAAAATTGTCCAAAACCAAGTAATTCCATTTGTATTGGCAAGGATCTGAGCATGTAGATAGCAAGAAAGACTCATCACCAGAGATGAGAAATGGTTGAGGGATTCCTTCAAATGAGATAGAATATACCTCTAACTATGTAATGCCTCCTTCTCAGGAGTCTGGCAAAAGATGATGAGGATAATTTCCAGCAAAGACAGTGGACTTTGTCATATCTTATTGTAAAAATGCAGGAAGACTTGCATTATTACTTTACTATCCCTGAAAATTAGATTTTTTACTTGACTGTGTAAAGTCATTTTGGTAGAAGATGAGCTTGCTGCTTCAGTGCTCAAGTTGTGGTCCATAAGAAGAGAAAGAGATGTACAATGATGTTACACAAATGAAAAACAGTGCTTGACATTATTTTTCTATTTGTAGTTGTGGCATATTCTAGTACATAGTAAATTACTGCCTTAGATATAATTCATAATATTGTTATTGAGTCTAACTTTTACCTGTGCTTATTATTATTTCTCATCTTCATTTATATTGTTGCTATTACTTATTATTTCCTTCCCACTTGCTGTATCATTTGATAAATTAGAGGATGGGCTCCTTGGGGCAGTTGCCTTCTTTTCTGAATGCTCTCTGTGATGAAGTAAGTCCTTTGGTCTCAACCAGATGTATGATAACACTCTAAAGAGAAAACAAGTGGCTTCAAAATGAGTTGTGACCCCTGAAACAGCTGGAAGTAAGGGTCTCATTCTGCATTTGTTGCAGACATTTCACTGTCTATTTATTTTGTGTCTAAAAATGGTGTATGGGGGAACTCAGTCAAAACAGAGGAATTTCAAGTCTTCCGCTTGTTTGTAATGAGACATCCAAAGGCTTACAATCTCACCATTTGAATCAAGTAAGCTATTCCTTACTCATTTATCTCTACCATCATTAATACTGATATCTGATTTTATAATCTATAAACATATGAGAAAAGGCTCCCTGGTTTAGACCTAATATATATCCAAGTGCCAAATATACTTGTCTGTCCTCCTTTTTCCTCTTTTTTCCTTTGCAGAAAACACCAGATTGTATTTACTCAGCTGAGTCTCTTATGCCAGTAAACAGCAGGCGTGCTGACACCTCACCACAGGTCACCAGGGACCCAGCTTCTTGAATGTATTTAAATATTCTGTTGCCTGATCAAAATACTGATGTTGTCAAAAGTGAAATATGGATGTGCATGTTCTGCAGCTCTTGGTTATCATGGGATGTTTCACATGAAATGAAAAGCAGAGCAGAGTTAGTCATGTGAGAATCTCTCCTGCTTTCTCTCTACGCTTCACTGCTTCTTGTCTCCGTCTCTGAAAGCTATACGTAGCCTTTGAACACCCAGAGCAGTGTGCTCAAATAATAAAAGATAAACTCTTAAATGAATATATGGAAACAATCAGCAAGTATGAAAACTTAATTTCATAAAGCATAGGTTTAGATGGGATATATTGGATTTTTAAAAAATTTTGATATTTAGACAAATACTGATTAGTTTGTTCTATTTATTTTAACGGGCCAGTATAAAAGACATTAAAATTAGGCATTTATTAGAATGCTGTTAGACACAGTATAAAAAAACCCTACATGTCATTACAAAAGAATATTTCATGTAATGCTCAATTTCATTGAATTTCTTTGTCTATAATCCCAAACATGTTAGAGAACTGCATAGATGAGGAATTGTCTAGGCTTGAGATTATAGTAAAAATAGGGGGCATAAAAAGTTAGGAAATACTTTTGTCAGGAGATGTAGAGATGATTTTTAAAGAAGGGAAAGATAGATCTAGTGGAAAAAAAAAGAGGGCATATATTCGAAGGTTATATTTGACCTGTAATTTAAAATTTTTTGGTTTGTTTGCATGTTGTATTGCTATTTTTTTGCAAGTCAGGTTCTGGAAGAAGGGGGCTTTGAGATAAAGGGCTAAGTTGCACTTTGAAAATAATGAAAGAGAATATTCAAAAATGTGTTTGAAAAAGTAAAATGGATACTTGATATTTCGTATGTTCCACATCCTCTTTTAAGCTATAACTAACAGAACTGAAGTTTGTGTCTGTGACATGACGTGCACCAGTTTAAGCTTAACTAAGAGTTTCCATACTGTAGTTTTTGATAATAAAAAAATGAATTACTGTTTTTCCTATACTTAATGAGTTGAATGAAATTAAAAACCAGTTATGCAGTTTCTGAAATTAGTAGGTCTAGACACACTTGCTTTCACAGAGTCATAATGAAAAGCAAAGAAATCTCATATCGTGAATGAGATTCAACCTGTTATGTTTAATTGAAATATATTTCAATGACATAGCTAACAAAATTTTCAAAGAGTGCCCATTCAGTTTCATAATATTGACTATTTTTAGCCATCATCAAAATTTGTTTAATATTTTCTGACAAATAATGGTGGATATTCTAAAGTTTTACATATACTTTAGAATAAATATATAATTTTCAAGTAAGTGTGGAGAATTTAATGTGAAATACTAAATATCAAGACTAAATAAAATGGTATGGTTTTGTTTGATTACACTGTAAAAGCTCAGTGATTTGTTCATATTTTATACTTCCATATTTTTCTTTCTCTTTTTTTTCTTTGTTTGTCTGTTTTTTTGTGTAGTTTTGTTTTTGATTTTCAATTTATTGGCCTAATAGCTACCCTTAGTACTTAGCAGAGTCTGTTTAAAGTTCTAGAGCATAAGCTGAACATCATTATTTTCCCCTGATGTGTCATGGCAAATATTACATCTCACACTGCTATTTCTGCATATGCAGCCTTTGGTAATGAAG